CGATAACAACACACCTCGATAACAACACACCTCGATAACAACACACCTCGATAACAACACACCTCGATAACAAGACACCTCCCAACACTGCCCCCCCCCCCCCGTTAGCTCACTTAACCAGCTAGCCTCCAACTACTCCCAGTTACCCCCATTCCTCTCGGCCTATTCACATAGTTCCAGACTCTCTTGACATCGGAAGCCGCCAAAGTTGAACTCATTCACACAACGTTGCCTTGTTTTGTTTTTTAACTGTTTCCAGAAGACCTTCCAGTGTCTAGGAGTCGCCGCCCCTTATTTCCCCCCTTGCACACTACAACAAAGACTTTTAACAACAGAAGACTTACAATAGTGCTATGACATAATTCGGTGATTACTTGTTGGTAATTGAACACGACTCAATGGAACATTGCCATTCTAATGGGGTAAGGAAGTACATGTTTATATATGTATATCATTATATATATATATATATATATATATATATATATATATATATATATATATATATATATATATATATATATATATATATATATATATATATACACACAAATAAAATTTTACTGCTTGGTAAAGACGGCAACTAAGTTAAATGGTTGTTTTATTTTCGCAGGTAATTGGCACTAATCCAATTTGCATCATTATTCAATTTGGCCCCGACCAAGTTCGCAGGTAAAAAAATATATTTGAGTTTACCTTCAGCCTGACCCCCACCTGCCCATTTAATTAGGAAATCTCAGGCCACTTGTAGAAGACGTAAACCTCGGGTTTTGGGGGATTCCACATTTTTTTTAATGCCTGATTCGGGGTTTTTGAGTTATGTGAAACACCTGTCTCGCGTCGTTACGGGTTTAACATGTAGTTAATGTCAGGGGTTCTCAATTCTAACAAACTGGGGCTTATAAAACATTCGAGGTTATTTAGTAGGGATTGGAGCTAATAAGCTAATAGAGACTAACAGACTAATGCCAAAAATATCTCTAAAATGTTTACTTTTTTTTTAGCAAACTGTAAAGCTTATTCGCTATGTGATGATACAGTTTTGTATTGATTGATTAAAACCGGTTACAAATTGCTCATTAACAATTCGGCAAAAATAGAACGTGTTCGAGTGTATTGAACCTAAACATCGAACACAAGCCAAAGAATGTTAATTAACATCACGTGAAACAAAACAGCTGATACCTGCAATCTACACGAGCAACTGAAGCTAGGCTCTAAACGCTCTGGTGTTTTTAGAATGGGGGGTGGGGGTGGGGAGGGGGTGGAGATCTGATGTTAAACACCAGATAAACTGGTTCCGGTGGTGGATTGTAGATATGATACACAAAGGTCAGTGACCTGTGGAACAGGTTGTCGGTTATCGTTCGGTAAAGTTTGGTAAACTACTTCCTGTTATTGTTCAGGTGCACAGTGCCAACATAGGTAAGGTGTTGTCGGCGGTGGGTGGACGCGTGCGGCCGTTCAAAGTCTTAGCTTAACCGATAGGGATATAGCGTCCAATGATATAGGTGCCCAATGGACTACAAGAAAGTAGCGGTGCCCAAAAGTTTACTCGTCTTTTAAAACTGATTCCTATCCTCATTCTTTGTGGGCTAGAGCTACCAGTTGGTCCACATGTCTGATACAGAGAATGACTTGTGTTGCAATATTTTCAGGTTCCTAGACCTGGCCTGGAGTCGTAGAGGTCAGAAGCGACCTAAGCAAGACAATAAAATTCAGTGTGCTGACTCAGCTGTTTGCTGCATACACCAATTAGTATGACAGTCATGTGACTTAACGTTCCACTAGAACAAGAGATAGTCATGTGACTTTACACTAGAACAAGAGATGATCATCTGATTTTACAGTCATGTGACTTTACAGTCATGTGACTTAAAACTAGAACAAGAGATAGTCATGTGACTTAACATTAGAACAAGAGATGATCATCTGACTTAACAGTCATGTGACTTTACACTAGAACAAGAGCTAGTCACGTGACTTACACCACCCCTGTTATCTCTCACCCCGCCAGGCTGGCGTGACGGTTCCAGTCAAGCGGAAAAGTCTTGACGTCACGAAGACAGAGCCGTGACCAATGAGGCGTGGAAAGCCCCCTCGTCTCTAACCCTGTACCAGTCAGCGATTCATCATCTCCAGCTCTCACGATAAGAGCAACCGGAAAAAACCGTGTACTAGGATTAGAACAGCCGGCAAAAAAAAAAAATCCATATACTACTAACACAAAAACTGTGCTCTATCCTAGAGTGTTAAAGACATCAGCCATGAAAAAAAAAAAAAAAAAAAAAAAAAAAACCTTAGCATCACAGTCCGTCTATAACGGCTTAAGGTTGCTCTCCACGGGACGTAACCCCCTCACCCTCACACCAGAACCACGTGATAATGGTAGAAACAATGGCGTCGGGGGATTTCGCCGTAGTTTGTTCACCTTTTAAATTCGTCTTTTTTTTTTTAAATCCGGGGCTCGCGATGATTGAGTAGGCCGGAGTTAAGTCCCCTGCCGGCGTCGGGCGCCGTGGTTGCCGGTTAAAATGTACCCGCGGAGCCGGCAGACCGTAAGATGGGTACTCTGGAATTATTCTTTGATGACGGCCGGAGTTTGGTGGTGTGGGTAAAAATAATATTTGAGATAAGTTTATTTATAGACTGTCTTTGATGGCTCGATGATTAAAGTTCGAAGAAAGTTGTACGCGAGGTTTTATAATTAGATTTCAGAAGATGAGTTTTTTTTTTTTCTGAGATAAAACTGTTCGATATTAACAATTTTTTGGCTGATACAGTAGCTTTCATTAATTTTTTCCAAGATTTTTACAATATTGTATTTGCTTTTTAATTTAATTTTTTCCCTTCTCAAGGCTAAAGTTAATTATTTCGAGATGACCATTTCGGGTTTTAAATTTTAAAAAATAATTTGACAGTGGGAGTGGGGATGATTTTTAAAAAAAATTTTTTTAGCTCAGTGCAATTTGTAGATTTTAAGAATAGACCTTGTTTCATAAGGTTTGGTCGCAGTTGATCGGAGGAAAATACAAACACTAACATGGGTCTCACTACCATAACATGGGTCTCACTCACTACCATAACGTTGGTCTCACTACCATAACTTGGGTCTCACTATAAAAGATTGGGCATCACTATGATTGGAGCCTCAGTTAGGTGACGCTAGAGTCACTATCAACCTCACCATTTCACGCCCCTTTCTTTCTATCCACGTCCACCTTCCGAGAGAAATGTTTCCTCTCTTTCTTTCTCTCTCTCTCTCTCTCTCTCTCTCTCTCTCTCTCTCTCTATCCCCTGTCCACCTCCAGAGAGAAATATCTCCTGCCCCAGTTCTATCTCAATAGATATCAACAAAAACAACCCCAAACCATGACTGGCAAATCTACGGGTGATTATCGTAGGAATATCTAACAGTGATATAGAGAGATGGGGTGATTGAAGGGATAACACCGGGCTGGGTACGCAATTTAGCTGAGATAAATGTGAAATATCAAGTGTGTATACAGCAGTTGGATATTTTTGTTATTTTTCTTTTGGTTGTAAAAAAAACGACAAAAATATGCCGAGGGGCTTTGGCAGCGATAGACAAGTTGATAGAAAGCTTGGAATAACAGTGTGAGGGGGGTGCGATGGGGCTACGATGGGGATACGATGGGATCTCGCTAATCCTCGAGAGCAAGATGAAAACATTGGGCCCGGGGGTGGGGGAGGGTGGGGGGGGGAGTATACATACAGAAATCAATACAGCAGTAATAGACGAGCCAGCCGCTGGGCGTGTGTGTCGCTACAGTAAGCAAAGATTGAGCTGTAGATCGAGGGTTTGAATACAGGGGTCGCGGGGGTGGGTGTTAGGGGGTGGGGGAGTAGAGAGGGGTCAATAGAGTAGTTAGATAGAAACCGTGTTGACCGGCAACAGAGGAGAAATTAGATCCATCATAGACGTGATGGAAATCGTGCGGGAAGATTGTAAAATACATGCAGGGTTGTGCATGTCGGGCAGGGTGTGATGTCATGTGGGGGTGGGGGTGGGGGGGGGGTGTGGTGTAATGTGATTTTGTGGGTGGGGGGGTAGCCAGCACATAGTGAGTAAGGGGGGGGTGGTGATGTAATGTGAGGTGTAGCCAGAACATTGTGAGCCAGGGGTGTAATGTAATTGGGGGGGGGGGGTAGCCAGCACGTTATGATTGAGGGGTGTTATGTCATGGGTGTGTGGGAGGCGGGGTGGGGGGTGGGGGTGTAGCCTGCACGTTATGATTGAGGGGTGTTATGTCATGGGTGTGTGGGAGACGTGGTGGGCGGGGTGTGGTAGCCAGCACATAGTGAGCCAGGGGTGTGATGTAATGGGGGGAGGGGGTGTAGCCAGCACGTTATGATTGAGGGGTGTTATGTCATGGGTGTGTGGGAGGCGGGGTGGGGGGTGGGGGTGTAGCCTGCACGTTATGATTGAGGGGTGTTATGTCATGGGTGTGTGGGAGACGTGGTGGGCGGGGTGTGGTAGCCAGCACATAGTGAGCCAGGGGTGTGATGTAATGGGGGGGAGGGGGTGTAGCCAGCACGTTATGATTGAGGGGTGTGATGTCATGGGAATGTAGCCAGCATATTGTGTAGCCAGGGGTTTTCAGATAACGAAACGGTGTCGATGAGAATCAAATGAGAATCTTGATGATTTATTTGATGCGAGAACAGAATTGTTGACGTTAGAGATTTTGATTTATCAACTTCAGTGTGCTTTAGGATAATGAACAGATAAGAAGAGATGAATACGGGAATGTATTTTAAAAATTGGAGTCGGGAATTTTCACGAAGAGGCTTTAGGATCAGAAGGATTAAGCTCAGGATTAAGTTCAGGATTAAGTATAAGATCTGGGTGAGATAAATTAAGCCGTTGAAAGGTGCGAAAAGATAATATTTGCTGTTTATAAAGTAATCAAGGTTAATAAAAAAGTAATCGAGGTTAATTAAAGATGTTTGTGGTTGAGTAGACGAGTGGTGCTTACCTTTCATCTGGAAGAAGCTCATGTTCTGGATGGCGTGGATGGCGGGGGTGTTATCCAGCGTCAGCTCAAACTCCGGACTCACCCTGGGCGCCAGCTCCATCTCCTTGTTGAAGTTGGCGTCGGCAGTCACAACCCGGCTGATGAGACCCGGTGAGACCTAGGGACCAAATACATGGAGGGTTAGTGACGTCATGGTGAGACTTGGGACCAATTACATGGAGGGTTAGTGACGTCATGGTGAGACTTGGGACCAAATACATGGAGGGTTAGTGACGTCATGGTGAGACTTGGGACCAATTACATGGAGGGTTAGACACGGTGAGACTTGGGACCAATTACATGGAGGGTTAGACACGGTAAGACTTGGGACCAATTACATGGAGGGTTAGTGACGTCATGGTGAGACTTGGGACCAATTACATGGAGGGTTAGACACGGTGAGACTTGGGACCAATTACATGGAGGGTTAGACACGGTGAGACTTGGGACCAAATACATGGAGGGTTAGTGACGTCATGGTGAGACTTGGGACCAAATACATGGAGGGTTAGTGACGTCATGGTGAGACTTGGGACCAATTACATGGAGGGTTAGTGACGTCATGGTGAGACTTGGGACCAAATACATGGAGGGTTAGTGACGTCATGATGAGACTTGGGACCAAATACATGGAGGGTTAGTGACGTCATGGTGAGACTTGGGACCAAATACATGGAGGGTTAGTGAGACTTAAGATCAGTTAGTGACGTCACGGTGAGACTCGGGACCAGTTAGTGACGTCATGGAGAGACTTGAGACCAGTTAGTCGCGTCACGGTGACCCTTGGACCGAAAACATTTGTCTAAGTGCTTTATTTTTTTTACACATCCATTTTGTCTATGTTGATTTAGCCAATTCACACGCCAATTTCTTTTAAAACATTTGGGATTTTAAATTTTTAAAACAAAAATGCAATAATTCCACTTGTATTATTACAATTATAAATAGACATACATTTTCAGTTCATATTTTAAAGTTAAGAGAAAAAATGATGTATCACAAAGTTCATTCCTGTTTTGATTACTTGAACGGAATTCTTAAAAAGAACTCATATTATGAGTTCTTTTTGAATACGTTATTTTTTGTGGTTCTTTTTTAGAAACACTAGGTGAAAAGTGTCCCAACCCCATTATTTCTATTTAAAATGTATGATACCACAATACTGAAACCGTGTAGTACTGAGTTATGTTTTTAAAATAAATATTTCAACGTCGAGAACTTGTCACCCTGACCGCCCCGGGCCAAACTAAGTTCTAAAAAGTGAACCAAAGTTCACAACCCCGGAGATTTATTTATTTTTGGCCTACGGTCGACCGAACTAGTTTTATCTGGCAGCCTAAGGGCTCAAGACGGGCTAGTGTTTTGTGAGGGCCGTTAGCGACACGTATCAATCAGAGATGCTATTGGTGGTGGTCGGTTGATCGAGATGCCGGACAGATAATGGGCTTATCCCGACAGATAATGGGCTTATCCCGACACAGGAGGCGCGCAGGTGTAAATTACAATCATCCCAGGCGTTAGATCGTTTCTGATTAACACAACGACAAAATAAGGCGGGGGGTGGAGAGAGGAAGGGGGGGGGGGGGAGTAATTATGCTGATGATGTGAAGATCCCAGTTTTCTACACCTCGCCTGCTGGTGTTGGGTCGTGTTCAAGAAATTATTTTTGGAATATGAATGACGAGAAGGGATTCGTCAGGTCAAGGTAAGGTCAAGGTAAGGTCACACTCACCCCGTGCGTCTACACCAGGTGTTGGCTCTCATTTACATACCTGTAGTGGGGGCAATTAACTGCTCTATTTAACTCTTAAGTAATTAACTGCTCTATTTAACTCTTAAGTAATTAACTGCTCTATTTAACTCTTAAGTTAGTAACTGCTCTATTTAGCTCTTAAGTTAGCAACTGCTCTATTTAACTCTTTAGCTAGTAATTGCTCTATTTAACTCAAAGCAACTTCTCTGTTTAACTCTAACTGGTCTATTTAAACATTAAGTAATGAACTTTCCGTTTGATCAATTACCAGTTCTGTTTAATTCTAAGTAACAAACTGGGTTCTATTTAATTATAAGAAACGGATTTATTTTTTTAACTAACAACTGTCTTCGCTGTTGCTTTGTTTTTTGTAAAAAAAAAAACCAAATATTCAAACACCTTTGTTTGATTTATTGATTTATGTCATCATCAAAAGTTTCAGCTAATCGCGTTTAAAAGATAACACCGCTCTACACATATTGTTCCAGCTCTCCTAACCTTCGCACCTTTTCCTATCAAACCCCATTCACAAAATGTAATTTGATGCAAGCCGAGCTTTTAAATCTGATTTAAAACTCCGTCAATCATCGGTTGTTTTATAAATATGAATGCTGTCTGCGTTTTTTTTCTAGTCAAAACATAATAGAAAAACAATGAAATCGCTTGGGAATTTGGCCGATTTTGTTATTCTGTTATTCGTTGAATATTGGTTCCTGAAAAAGTCATTGTTTTTCATCGCTTTCCAGACGGTACAAAATAATACCTTAATGTATAGTTAAGTGCATTAACACAATATAAAACTTAAGAATACACGTAACTCAGCACATTCACTTAAACTATTTATAAAGCTGGAGTGTTAGTTACGTGAAGTATATCATCTCTAAATGTAACAAAAAAACACAACTATTTCATTCTTTTTAAAGTCAATGGCTGTTCGATTATTTCTAACCGATACTCGACTCCATCCAACGTATCGACTAGTATCGATCCTACTGGTATGCTAATGTCTGCTTCCTCCCCCCACACCCCCCACACCCCCTCTATCCCCCCTCTCCCCCTCCCCACGACCAAGAGCCATTCTACCCGCCCATTTTTAATCCACCCCCTGACGCCCCGCCACTAAAACGGTTATAAAGCCCTGTCCTGGCTCCCAGACAGTTCCTCAAGCCGATTAGAGGGAGTTAGTGTCTCTTGTAGGAATGTAGTATTGATGGGGTAGTGGTGTAATGGTGATGTAATGGTGGTGTAATAGTGATGTAATGGTGGAGTAATGGTGGTGTAATGGGGGTGTAATGGTGATGTAATGGTGATGTAATGGTGGTGTAATGTGGTGTAATGTGGTGTAATGTTGGTGTACTGATGGTGTAATAGTGATGTAATGGTGGTGTAATAGTGATGTAATGGTGGTGTAATATTGATGTGATGTTGGTGTAATGTTGATGTAATGTTGGTGTAATATTGATGTGATGTTGGTGTAATGTTGATGTAATGTTGGTGTAATATTGATGTGATGTTGGTGTAATGTTGATGTAATGTTGGTGTAATATTGATGTGATGTTGGTGTAATGTTGATGTGATGTTGGCGTAATATTGATGTGATGTTGATGTAATGTTGGTGTAATGTTGATGTGATGTTGGCGTAATGTTGATGTAACATTGATGTGAAAATTGATGAAAGACATCCTCACAGTATCCCTTATCCAGGATAGTTCATCTCATACCAGTTGTCCAGCTGTATTGCTGTCATGCTGTCCAGTTGTCCGTCTGTCTGTCCGGCAGTCCAGCACACATACACACATATGACACAACACCGCACTGATGGTGTCCTACACTACCTTGGCTTTGGTATTGTGTGGATGTGGGTATCGTTATGTCTACGAGTGTGTCGATGTCTGTGTGTGCGTGTTCGTGTATGATTGTGTGTACGTACGTGTGTGTGCTTGTGTGTGTGTGTACATTCGTGTGTGTGTGCTTGTGTGTTCGTGTGTCTCCAACAAACAACGTCTTGGAGAGTAACGAAGAAAAAAAATGCAAGTGTGGACTGAGAGCCTCTAAAACACATTGCGTCAAATTAGGTCGTCCAAGAATTCTTCAAGCAAAGGCAGGGGGAGGGGGGAGGAGGAAAGGGCGCTTGAGTGCGTGTGTGTCTTCTAGACCGTCTGGCAGTCTGAGAATGCCTGTTGGGATGGGGTTTTGTTGTGTTTTTTTTTTTTACAAAACAAAACACCAGGAAGGACAGAAGGGGAAACAAATCGTTCTGGTATTGAATTATTGAGATTTAAACCTCGTTTTGGACACAAGGATAGATGTAGGTTTTATAAGGTTTTCTTTCTGTTTTCTTAAGTTTTTTTTTATTCCCCCCCCCTCCCCCACCCACCCACACAACCTTGTTTTCTTGTGTTTTGTCACAAATGTCGAGGGAATAAGAAATTCCGGGTCTGGTAAGAACACCATCAGAAATACACTACGTTGTGTACTTTTTGATCAAGTCGCAGTCGTCATAGCTCCGCATGAAGAAAAAATAATGTCAATCTTTAACTAGGCGGATGTCGATTGGTTGACTCTAATCACGTGATCAAAGACAAGACACCACAGACTTTGATATTGGAAATACTAGGTCCTCTGTTTTAACCTGATCAAAATGTGTTTCATGCATGAATGAGTTTAAGCACAGACGAATGAACATCTGTAAGACGTAGAGGGATAATTTTGCCTACAATTTTTTTACAATGAAGACGTCTGCGGTGCATTTATATTAGAGTATGTTTGTACTATTACAAAGTAGATTACTAATGTCAGTTTTCGAACCTTTGATGAATAATTGTATCCATGTTTCACCGCAAATGTAAAAATTTCTAGCAGAAATAAATAAACCTTCGTTAAACATAATCATTAATAACAGAATTGAAATTTCTATATATTTATGCCGGCTGACTTTATAAAACTCGTATTTTAAATAAAATATATTAAAGGACAAGAGAATTCCATGTCAACGCATTGAAAATCGGAGCTAAGATAAAAACTTCATGTCACGACATTGCAAACAAAACCAAGAAAAAAAAATCGGAATCACCACATTGAAATCAAAACCCCGAAAAAAATTCGAAATCACCACATTGAAATCGAAACCAAGACAAAAAATCCAAATCACCACATTGAAATCGAAACTAGGAAAAAAAATCCAAGTCACCACATTGAAATCGAAACCCAGAAAAAAAAATCCAAATCACCACATTAAAATCGAAACCAATAAAAAAATCGAAGTCACCACATTGAAATCGAAACTAGGAAAAAAAATCCAAATCACCACATTGAAATCGAATACAAGAAAAAAAATCCAAGTCACCACATTGAGATCGAAACTA